CAGGGACGGCGATAAAACCTTTTTTTTATCCATAACAAATCTGCATAAAGACGACTACGGTTTGTTAATGTGTCCCAGATGTGTTGGATAAAAGTGTCTTAGTTTGCATCTGAGAGTGATATTCAATCAAAGCCTTACCAAGAGGTTCCATATGAGAGGCTGGATTTTTCTGGAGGCACAGACCAGATGGTCACGTGAATATACTTAATTAAAAGGACCTATTTTAGACCATGGAGTTACATAAGACAGAAGGTAAAATGGGCAGTGATAATGTTCAATATGATGCTCCATTTGCAGGCCTGAGGCTGTAAGCTTGTAAGTTTTTAAAGGTGGACTGCAGTAAACTGAATAGGCACACAGCAATCGGACAAGGCTGTTATCTGTGTTCCTCAGAGCTGCTATCATGCTCCTAGCTTTGGCCCAAAGGACACAGTCAATGCTTTATAAATTCAAGGGTGGTCAACTTAGCTGATAGGGGGGCTCATCCGGGCTAAAAATAGCCTGCCAGTACCCACTGGCCTGAATTGGAGATTTAAACCCACTGCCCGCTGCTGGCTGTGTGGAAAATGCTAAGATTTCAAAGACGTGACAAGAATCCATAAGGAAGCAAATTTCTCCTTCTTTTCAATGAGGTTGTTTTTGAGGAGACAGGTGCTATCATTTGGTGCGGAGGTGGGGTTTTTTTTTTTTTTATGTCTGCACAGATTCATCTGTGGGAAAAGAGGAATAAATGAAGCAGCAGCATGATGGTGAATTTCGACGTGAGCAGATTGACGCAGTGACTAATTGTATTGTTCACCAAAATTGCTCCGGATGCTGCTGTTCTGATGGAAAACAACAGGCAGGGCGGGGGGGTGCAGTCCTGCGTGGATGGAGGTTGGATAAATGCTTTTCTTTAAATTCTTGACAAATGTTGCTTTTGCATTCTTCAGCTTTCGCCTGATAAATCGCACCAATATCCTTGGGATTGATGATGAATTCATCTCGGATGTACGATGTTGTATAGTGTATTTATATCCATCAGAATTCAATATGATTTGGTACTTTTGAACAAAAATTAACAGGTTTCATTAGGATTTTGTGTGATAGACCAACAAGTAATGCATAATTGACACACAGATAATTGGTTTTCAAAATAACACTTCAAATAACAATTTTAGCACCAAATGAAAACTGCCCACATATATTTAGCACTGTTGCTTAATGGGAGCCGCTTGTAAAGATAAGAAGTCAAAAATTAGGAGCAATATTTATAGCTACTTAGCATTTTTAAAGAGAAAAATAAAGAGGATATTTTTTTTCTCAAGCTACATTTTATTCGATTAAAAAATACCTATGGAAATCAGGACTTTATGGAAAACCCCTGTGGCTACAATTACAGCTAAAGGTCTTTTAGGATGTGTCTGAAACTGTTCTGCGGATTTCAGTATTTAAACTACCCCAATTGGGTCATTAGTCATAAATATGCTTTAATGTAAATCCTTTCATTTTAAGTCTGGCTTTATTCTTACGGTCAATTGTCCTGTTGGCAGGTTCCCATCAGGAGCTTCCATGCTCCTGCTAAAGCCTTTACATGGAAGCTTGGTGTGTCGTCCTGTGATGGCTTGGCGACCTGTCCAGTTTGCTGGTGCCTGTCTTCAATCTAATCATTGGAGACTGTGCTACAACCCTGCAGGAATAACTGGATATTGTCAATGGATAGATCATCCTGCCTTGCCTATTTGTTTTAAATCTGTCTTTTTCAACCCTGGTCCTCAAGGCACACTGCCCTGCATGTTTTAGATGTTTCCCAGCTTTCACACACCTGTTATCAATTGATAGCAGATTATCAGGCTTTGCTGAACTGCAATCATCTGAATCAGGTGTGTTGAAGCTCAGAAACATCCAAAAACATGCAGAGCAGTGTGCCTTGAGGACCAGGGTTGAAAAACACTGCTTTAAATGACCCAAAAACAATTTGGAAAGGATAGTTAGCTGAAGAAACAATCTGGTTTTGAAGCTACAATTACAGTAAAATCATTAGAAAACTGTTGTTTTTATTTGAGGAGCTGAACAGCTGCTCTGACTGACCTCAGATTCCGCTGCTTTTAAAGTAAGATGTACGACTAAGAGAAGTCAGCAGGACGAAGGGGTTATACCGTAGCTTATTTTATTACGGTACCTGATTTACCCTTAACGTCATGCATTATAAAAGAAAACCCGAGGAACAAACGTTAAGTCAGCATCTGTAGCCACGCAGGTCAAAAAGAACAAGCAGCAAGATAAGACTCATCTCCTTTTATTCCCTGGAAACACAAACACTGTCCAGAATCATTAATTTATTTACACACATCTCATCATTTTACAGGACATATTTACAAATGCATATATTATAATCACAGCTTGAGTATTCCACCAAAGAGGAACCGGGCAATCGTTGCAGCACATTAGACATCAGATTAAATTTTTTCTTCTTTTTATTTTTTAACTTTGACAGATCAGCACATACTAAACAGCATTTCTTCATACTCAGTGAAACACGACTTCAGATCCAAAGCTGGAACACATTAATCTTTGACCAGTGAGTAACCAGCATGGTTATTTTTAGGGTTTGGGGGGCAATCTGACAAAGCTCGTTAGAATACCGTAACACCAGGAGTGACATCAGGTTTCAATTGCCTGCTTGTTTACAAACTGATCCAGTTCGGTAAAAAGCATGATCTGATTCAGTAGTCTCATCAGAAGCACTTGCTGCTGTAGCAGCTCCGTGACCTCGATGGTATGACTTTCAGCTCTATCTTTATTCACATAGCGGTGCACTTTTTTTGTACAGCCTCAGGGGTGAATGACCACAGGATCTGCCTGCAACCATTCAAGCCCCTTTATAACAAGAAAAGCGAATAAAAGGCAGGCTTATCTTCTGTGGCGGGCGGCAGCAAATGAGATCAGATGAAGTGAGAGGAAACGGAGCATTGTGTGACAGAGTTGCTCTTTAACCTTCTACTTGAAGGGTTTGGATATTTGAGCTAAGTATGCTTTAGGTATCTGGCTGACTCTGAAAAGGGAAAAAAATGGCTTTGATGGTTCCTCTAACAAGCCTAGGCGGCTAGAGGATGTCCAAAGAGCAGGAGAGGTTAACGAAGGCACCACATGCAGAACTTTTAATATTCAAATTCGCAGACAAAGAAAGGGAGAAACAAAACACCAGCAGGTTCTCTGAAGAAAATGTAAAGTGTAGGAATGGAACTGCATTGCACTTTGTCCCTGGATATTTTTTCCTTGAATTGCCTGAGCTCCTGCTACTAAACCCCTGCTCTTTCATTCTTCTTCTACTGATCTGACTCCATGCTACAGAAAAAGGAGTGTATAAAATGATCTGTTTTCCAACTAAAATCACTTCCTAAATGGAGTGCAAAGACACTTTTCTGTATCCAAGGTCTAAAAAAAAAAAAGGGATGCTTACAGTTCAAAAAAGAAGAGATCTCAATAAGTAATTTTTCCTTAAAATAACTGAATGTTTTCTTGAATTGAGGATCTAAGTCAGAGACTTTTCAAATGGAACAAGACAATCTAAATTTAAAATAATAAATAATTGCATTGTCTTATTTCAATTGTATATTATCTAATTATCTTATTTTAAGAGTAAAAAATCTCATTCCATTGGAAAAAAATCTTATTTACCTGCTCAAATTAAGGCTAAATAAAAAATTTTTTGCAGTGTAAAATGCCACAAAACATTTCAGATTCTTAATACATGAAGATGGGTTGTTTCTAAAAGGGGTAATTATAACCCAGACAGAAAACAAAATATGAGTATTAATCACTGCAGCTCTGTTTAAAGGTTAAAGGCAGTCAATAACTTTACTTTTAGTTACATCACAATTGGCTTGTGCTGGAGGCTAAAGCTAACAGCTTGTGTGAGAGGCGTCTTTATCAAAGCGGACCAACATCTTTACCGAAATAAAATATCATACTGGTTAAGATCAATGTGATCAATATTACTAACCATGTAATGGATGATGTGAATAAATTGGCTAATATTCACAAAGGAAATGGAAATAGCAGAGGTTTTGACATAAATGACCTTCCTGTATAGATCAAATACCTTTGTTTTTCTTTTACAGCTACTGTAGAAACATCATAGGTGGAATTTCAAAGTTTGCTAGGATTTATTTGCAAATCAAACACAAATATATTCAAAGTAATGTATTGGAATTAGTAATCCTTTCACCCAGCTAACATACTAGCTCCCTATTGTGGAACAAGCCACCAAGCCCAACAGTAACTGCTACACTGTAAAAAAAACTAAAAAAACAAAAAAAAAACAAAAAAAAACAAAAACGTGTTACTTTAACACCAACAGAGTTGAATATAACTCTGTGCCAGATAACTTTTGGTCCCACTCTGAATTACTGTCAAATTTACTCTATAGCCAGTGTCAACTTTTCTATTTTTACTCATTTTAGTGTCAAAAATCACGAGGACCTCTCTGAGACTGGCAGGTAATTGACACCATATAGAGTAAAAGTTACACTGCATGGCTGTCAATTTTATCACCGACTATTAACTCCGAGATTTACAATCAGTATAGTTTTAAATACTCTATTTAGAGTAAAACTAGTTTAATATGAATTTTTAACAACCATTTTTCACTGTGTATTATAGTTGCATATGAATTATAATAATGTGCTAAAACAGTGTAAATATATATTTTTTTGGGGGGGTATGACATTTTAGATTTGATTACAAGGTAAGGTGTGATGAGAAAACCACAGCTTTCTCCTTTAAAATTTGAACTTTTAGTGATCGTTATGTTAATGTTTCCAAATTAACGTTGTAGGAAACACGTAATTTCCAACCTCCTGATGTTTTACCATTTTAATGCAAACTAGATGATTGCTAATGTGGCGGAGCAATGACTGCTTATTAAAAAAAAAAATCATAAACTTTCCCTTAAACATTGCGGTACTTGTAATACTAAGGTGCCTTTAGTTATTGAAAGTTTGAGTTTCATTATCTTTCATTTAACTTTGCATGTAAATGACGAACCAATGCAAACATTAGGATAGTTTGAGAAAGTATAAAAAACTATTGAGTCATTGATATTGGAGTTTGAAGGTATAAGTCTTGCAGTAGTGAGGATAACCAAGACCAAAGATAAAGATCCATTGTGCATTCATTAAGCACAATTTGTGTCACCAAGGCTTTGAGTTTGTGTCACTTTTGGCGTAAACCTGTTCAGCATGTGTTTGTATTCGAATAATGGGTTTAAAATTTAGTTTTCTATTGCAGGACAGGGGAAAATCACTTTTGTTGTCAAGTTTTATTCTAGATTTTATTCCCGACTGGAGAAACAGCTGTAGTCACAATCTATTAGTGTTTCCAATTGGTCAGATAATTATCAGTTATATTGATTAAAGACTGTTAGTTGGAACCACTTCAGGTGGGATCTCGGCAGAGACTTGGCACCCAGAAACCATCAAATAAATAAATTATAGAGTCATAAAGCAGCATGGATAAATATTAGATCAACATTTTGAATTTTCTTCTTTAGCCACTGTAATGCTAACTAGACGGTTACTAATGTGACGGAGTGATGACTGCTTATATAACCTTTGAACAAAGCTTCAAAATTTCTAAACTTTCCCTTAAGAACAATAAACTAGATAGAAAAAAAATCATCCTGATAATAAAAACTAAAACACATATGTATGAAATAAGAAAATATATTAGATTAATTCAAAGGAAGAAAAAAAAAATACATTCAGTGTGGCAAAATTTAAGACCAGCTGTACAATTCAAACCCCTCGTAAGAAATTACATTTAATCTGAGACTAACTCAAAGTTAATGCAGCTGAAGAGCAGGTGGCGTTATGCTGTCGGCTACAGGGAAACATTACAAAGATGCTTCATGAAATCGAGCACCTGTGCCTTACAGACGGGCGGCTTCGCTGATGAGAGTCAGCTCGCGCCGCCGGCTCGGCCGTAAGTGCTGCTCAGGGCGAGGAAAAAAGAAAACAAACAGAAGCAAAATGCAGCAGAGGAAAACTGGCTGCCCTAAAGCCGGGGCCGACCTCTCCTTTGTTGTAGTTTTGCTTCAAACGTCCAGCTGAAGAGTCAAAATATATCTGATGTTCTGGAATACTGCCCATGATCTTTTAAGTTTATTTTCTTTCAGGATTCCTACACATCTTTCTTGACTATAGAGAAAAATCCAGAATTAATGTCTCAAGTTTCTTTCCTTCGGATTCATTTTGATATTTAAAACAAGTTTATTTTCTATGACTGACATTTCTAAAAATAGCAGGCTTTTATTTATGGAAACTGGAAATAAAATAAACAGGAAGGAAGAAAGGACACATGGAGGAAACGTGCAAAGGAGGGAGGAAAGAGAGGACGTAGACACCATGAAAGAGGTGAGGTAGGAGGAAGTAAAGGAAGACAAAGGTGAAAATATACGAAAAAATCTAGAGAAAGAAGCAGAAAGGAAAAAATAAATAAATGAGGAAAATAAGAGTGGGACATTGAATAAAATCTAAAAATGAATATTTTTCCCTCCTTCCTTTTTAGACCTGGAAATCAATAATAAAAAAAAAAAAGCAGAATTTTACCAAAATGCATAGGAACCCTGGATTGTTTTTACTGGCAGTTTCCAAAGAGGTTTCTCTAAACATTCACAATACTGCCTCGAGATAGTTCAAGTCTGAAGCGATAATCCCAAAGAGTTTCTCTTGGCATTCTTTAGGGAGAAAAATGTGGGCCGTAGGAAAAGTTCTTCTGTCAGGTTCTATAAATAGAGGTGGCACAATGCGGATGGAGTAGCAACTGTTCAAGTAAGCTCAGACATTTCCTCCGATTGGACGGAAACGGTTCAAGAGGTCCCACATCTCACTGGCACTTACGACGTACTATCTGCTCCTTCATTTGTCGGGAATAGAAACAGAAGTTGCTCAAGGAGTTCATTTTTACTTCTTCCGGACTCCGTCTTCTGGACTCTTCTGCTGCTTTATGAGTTTTTCAATCTCAGATCCCAGAGTCTGCAGATTCTCCTGCACAAGACACACAAATAAAGAAAAAGGTAGAAAATACAAACATTAAGCAGAGACATTTTCTGCACTTTTTGTTTTACATAGAAGGTGTTTTTGTTATTTAATGTCACTGCTTTTGTCTTGTTGTCATGTTTTTGTGCTTCTAGTGAGTGTTTCATATCATTACTTCCAATCGTTGACGGTTCTTTGGCTGGAAAAGAAGATACTCTCCCGCATTCTAACAATTGGTGCTTTAATCCAGGCTCTTGTGCAGGGAGCCTGGAAGTTTGACACAACAGGAAGCTGATTGGCTGCGAAATGTGAAAATATTTATCAGAGCTTTAGCCCACATCCTTTTTACAGAGCAAACAGACAAACGCTGTGAAAGCTGTGACAATGCGTGTAGACAGGATGGTGACATGCTCTGAAAGTGTGGGCGCGATGGAAGCCAGAGGAGGGGCGGGCATTCTTCTGACCAGGGCTCTATTTTAACTTTGTCTGCAGAGCTGCTGTTGATGTAAAGCTGTGATGAATACCTCAATATCACAGCTCTGTTGAAAACGAAACTGTCATTTTATTTTTCTCCACTTTCCTCTTTTCTTTATTGTGATATTTTACCAACAAGACGATCAAAAACAAAGCGTTTATATGATGGCTATCCATTCTGTCCATGTAAAGTTTTCCGTACTACTGATCAGATGCGTGACTTTCCATTCATAACAGGAACAAAAAAATATGTTTCCTTCACACAAAAATACTGGTTTATTGATTGAATTTTATTGATCTCACATTGGAGAACGTTATTTCTGCATTGGGGAGCAGGGGGGGTTTAATGTCTTGCTCAGGGACCCAGAGTGGCAGTCTGTGGGAGTGGGACCTGAACTCAGAACTTCAGGATTCCAAGCTCTATGCCCTAACCACTAGGCCACCTCTACCCTTACATCTCATCACATCATAACCAACAACATTTCCATTTAGGGCGAGTTAATCTGATAGATTAACACATTGTGCAGCTTAATTCCAGCTAGATTAACATGATGCAAACTGTTAAAAAAAACTGAATTCAGAAGAATGAACAGCTAAAGTGTTTTCAGATTAAAAAGAGGACATTTACTGGACTGGACTTTGACTAGGCCTCTTTAATACATGAATATGCTTTGATCTAAACTATTCTGCGGTTCCTTTAATAACCTAACCCTGCTTTAAACTTTCACACCACTTTATGCCAGACCCTCCCTAAAGTTTTCCTTGGTCATCATGATGCAGTTGGTTCACTAACGCTCTCCTGCAAACCTCTGAGGAGCCTCACAGAACAGCTTAATGTGGAGGTTAAACATCATAGAGGTGGATTAGTCATACTAATGACTTCTGAAGGCAGTTAATTGCACTGGGTGGCATCTAGGGATTTCTGAGTGAACAGGGCCTAAATAATAATGCAGGTAGGTTTTTTTATTTTATTTTATACAGAAAATCAATGTAAAATTTATTTTAAATGCCACTAACAATAACACACCATTTTGTGTTGGTTTATTAAATACAATTCTTTATAATAATAAAAAAGAAAAAACTCAAAATAAGTTGAATGAGAGGAGGAAAAAAGAACAAAGTTAAAGGGAAAAATACTGTTTAGAAACAGACAGAAAAATACTGTTTAGAAACAGACAATCTGCTTAATTGAAGCAGGATTGGTTTGAATCTAAAAGTAAAGCTCCAACATAAGGTTTCTTTTGCAAAGAAGGAAAACTGCTCTGTAATCCAGAATTGAATGAGCAAAAGAAAACCCAACTAAATGAAGGATGATAGCATACAGACGCTCTGATTACGGAGTCATTCGGAGTCAGTCCGGTTTAAAAATTGATGAGATGTGCTGAATGCTCCGGAAAAGAAACAAACCCAAACATAAAATAGAGAGAGAAAAAAAACAAAAAAAACATTTGAGCATTATTCTCTGAAATGTTGACAGATCCTGCTGTCCGCTGAATTTCAAAATGCGACCCTCTGCCCTGAGAATTAATCCTTTCTTCTTTTATCTTTGGTTTTCTGAAAAGCCGTTTTAAATTTGCTTCTGACCACGATAAGTTAGGACACTAATGGCTTCATTCATCTTCGACACTATTCAGTCATTCTCACGTTGGTCACTTGGCTGATAATGCACCTCAAGCTTCACTCAGACGTGTGTCTTAATAGTGATTTAAAAAACCGCGAATAATGAATAACGTTCATTATTTAAAGCAGATAAAAACTGCTCACTATGC